GGTTGGACCCCTGTTACTTTCAGGACGACAATGCCAGTTGTCATGTTTCGACGTTAACCAAGGCTTGGTATGGTGCCAATGGAGTTCATCGAATGAATTGGCCTGCCCAGAGTCCAGACCTGAACCCTATCGAGAACCTCTGGGACGAGTTGCATCGCCGAATTCAGGGGTGCACTACCCGTGCAAAATCGGTGAAGGAACTTCTATGTCTTCTCCAAGCTGAGTGGAAGGAAATACCACTAGCTGTCATACAAAGGCTTGTGGAAAGTATGCCCCAGAGGGTCCACGCTGTAATTACCTCTCGTGGAGGCTCTACCAACTATTGATTTTGAATAAAGTTTGTTTTTCTTTTCTATCACCAGGTGTCCAAATACTTATTGGTAGCCAGTGCAGTAATGATGATTAAAAAAAGGGAAATATTTTGAGCAGTAATCTTCAAAACCAGACGAAACTGTAGCTTTATTTGGTTCTTAAGTCATTCAAAGCTTTCTTGATTTGACGCTATAATTCATAAATAATCTATTTTTCGAAAACATTATTTCGAAATATGGTAATTCCTACCTTAATGCTAAGGTTTTCCTTGTGTTTTGCTGTTCCAAAGAAAAAGTGAGGCATATAATTTTTAACTAGTTTGCATACTACTTCTAATAACGTTTCAAAGAAATGCTGCATGAATAAAAGAATTTTTAGGTAATTCTGCTATTCAGTTAGGCAATGAAATTCCAAAAATCCTCTAGTTTTAGATTACGGTTGAAATTTAAAATATTCTTAAAAACTGAGATTCTTGGAACGGAATTTCGGTGAGCACTGACTGGTTGAGTAAAATTTGTATTTCCTTATAGCTAGTCTACGATATTGTAACCAAAGTTGTATTTGTTTTGCATTTGACTTTGTATATATTTTACTTTTTATATGCTTCAAAAGAATTCGGTATATGCAAAGTGATAGTAACAATTCATATACCATTCAGTAATTATATATAGACCGATCACCTAATATATAGACCGACTATAGATATATATAGACCGACCACCTAATAGGTTATATATAGACCGACCACCTAATTCGACCCCTTGTTTTCTAGAACTACCATTTCGGCTTTATTGGTCGCATTAGTAGAATACAGCAAGGAAATTACTCTAGCGACACTCCACTAGAGCGCCGCTTGGGAGCGGTGCCTCAGTTAATTTTAAGTTGCGTAGACAAGTAGCTTATTTTTACAAGAAATAGCCACGTTGCTATGCTGTATTACTACTGCTCTAGACAGTAGAGTACTGTAGGTCGCACGAAGATCCTGTCACTACTTTTTGTTTTACATTACTTTTGTGCTAAGTTTAATAAATGATTTGTTATAAATGTTAAATAATCTAATATAAATTATTATTAAATTGTGAAGTCATTAGATTTTGTTTTTGATGCGGGAGACGTAAGAAATGAGCAATGCCCTCCAACTCGAACCTGGACCTCTCGAATACGCGTCGAGTGTGCTACCTTTACACTCGAAGGCATGCTGGAAGGAGGGGGAAAATACCTAATATACGCCCCCTTTTAAAGGGAAATTAAAGGGGTTTAGGGAACCTAATCGCCAAATCGTGGAGGTGACGAGTTATTTTCCACCACTTTTTTTATATTTCGGGCGCCAGTTGTGGGCCATTAAATTTATTTTGAAGCAGGAAAGGTGAAAAAATGTGCAGTGCCCTCACCCGGATTTGAACCTGGACCTCTCGAATACATTGCGCTACCGTTACACCACGAGGGCATGCTGGAAAGAGGGGAGGGGAAAGTACCTTACAAAATATTTTGCTATAAATTATTATAAGTTACATATATTGTTATAAATGTTAAATGTCTGGAAATATTTCTTGAGAAATGGTATAAAATATGAAATACTGATAATTTGAAATACATGAAATATTAAATGAAAACATGAAATATTGCTGTATTTGGTAATTGGAATTTATTTGGTAATTATTCAGTGTAACGGTTCCGTTTCCGTTACGTATCGTATTAACATTAAGCTAGATACTTTGATCCTTTTCTGTCCGATCCAAGTATATTTCGTAAATTCTAGCCTGATAGGCTGTTAATTTCGAACGCAGAGCTTCTTATGCGTTGGTGCGTCTTATGTGGTGGACAAATGCGTGTGTGATATGGGCCTATTATAGACAGGGAAATACGGTATATGTGAGTAAAGAAATGCGCGTGAAAAACGTCTCAATGGATAAAAAGGTTAGACGAATGTTACTGCAATATAACCATTTTTTAAAAAATGGTGGCTAGAGAGGCTGTTCACACATTTTTAGACGATGTATATTGTATTCACAAAACTAAATTACATAAAATTCATGTGTTTAAAATGTTTAATTTGACATCCCTTATTCTGAACTATCTTTCGACACCGCAATTTCCAGGATAATAATGACTTTTGAAGTGGCAGCAGATATTCTATCCCATTCCTCCCGAACAGCTTTCCAGAGTCCTGTTAGGGTTTTGGATAATGCAGTTTTTAAAAGTCCGAAAGCACAAAAATCCATAGGTGACACATCGGGAGATTTAGTAAGGATATCAGTGAAGGGTATGGCCTTGATACCAGTTTCTTTTTCCATTCCTTTTAGGAAATTTACAATGGATTTTGATGTGTGACTGCTAGCTTTGTCCTGATGGAGTTTCACAGATGGATGGCACTGTGGGTAAAGCGATGGTATTTCATTCAGAAAAATTGGCGATAAAATATGTTCCTGATAGTATTTGGAGTTAATCTTGACATTTTTTTTTTGCACTCTCTTTATTTTTAACTTGCCATTATAAGAAAAACCAGCAACAATCATGAATCCCTTAGAAAAACTTTCTTTCGATTCTTTTAACCATGTACTTAAATTTTTTTCTCCCCTTTTACGATAATAAATGGCACTTTTTTTGTTACAATCATTTAAATACACCCATGCTTCATCTATAGTGACAATTGTTTTCCACGTTTCTTTGGATAAGTGTTTCTCATATAGAATTCTGTAGCGTGTCCTGCGTTGAGTGATATGTTTTGGAAGAAGACGATGCACATTGCGTTTTTTCGCATTCTTAAGATTTAAATCAACGTTTATCATTTCGTTTACAGTGGACACCGAGCATTTTAATGGTTTTGAAACTGTTCTTTGACAAAGGGGATTTTCTTAACGTACCTTTGCAATAGTCGAAGATGTCCGTTTTTTCCTTGGATACTTGTTTGGAATTTTTGTCCCGCTTGAGGCTCCAAATTGACGTTTTTTTTTTTCCCCTTTCTTGTTGATGATATTACCTATCGACGCTTTAGATATCACAAAACCATGACTCTCACATCGTTTTTGGATAACGGTGTATGCATATTTCTCTTCGGAAAGAGCGTAAATGTAGCCTTCGAACCACTGCTTTGTGAAATTCGCCATTTTGAATAAAAACAAAACTTTCAAGCCACAGACGATAATTTTGACTTTTAAAAACATAGTACAATTGCAATTACTTCTTTTGCAGCAAACGAGTTTTTATTATTGCTTACCAAAATCGTCTAAAAAATGTGCGAACAACCTCTGCATAAATTATTCAGTATAGCTTGAAAAGGACTGAAACGCATCTTTATGTACCTTTTGAACAAGTTTTTCATTTTAGCCGGAACTTAAAGTGGGATCCTCCCTTGTTGCTGCGTTTCTGATAAAAACGTACGTACTTAAAAGAGCTCTTGATAAGTTCCGTGTTAATGGTTTTGATATTATTTTTAATTAAATGATGCAGAAAGAGTTGAATGATAACTATATAAAACTGGAGATTATTTTGAGAGGAAAAAGGTTTGATTACTTTAATCAGCTTAATTATTTTAATATCAAAGGTGAATTACTTAGGTTGACCATTCTTGTCAATTCTTACTTCTCATTTTGTAAATTATAAGCAAATGATGATTGAAATATAAGAAACAAAATCGTTAAAACTTCACTAAAGGAACTCGTTTGGTCAAGTAGCCTGTGTATAAACGATAAAAAATTGCGTTCATATTAGTAGTACTTATTTCTTTAGTTTTATATGCTACCCTAAAATTGTATCATATAAATACTAAATTTAATATTTTAAGAATATAAAAAGAAATAAGCAGTTTAAAATAACAGCATTTTCGGGCATAAAATAGATAGAAAACTGCATATGTGGTCATTGGAGGAGGTAAAAAGTGGTGCTATAAAAAAGCTATTAAAAAGGTATTTATATTTTTCGCTTCCCAATTTCACTTTTCCTATTTATTTTCTTATTTGACTTTACTTAAAATTTTGTTCATAAATTAAATTAAATGCTCAAAATTTATCTTATTCACATTTAACGTAACTTCTTTAAATGTACAAATTTATTACCTCATTATTACATAATGAATGCGTCTGATTACTTAAGAATTGTTCATTTTCTATTTTAGCCCTACAGTATATCCGGCTGATTCTGCTAAATAACTAACCTATCATTAATAGCAATTTCTTCATTTTAGAGTAATTATTTTTAATATTTTATGATCGTGGTAGTTTATGGTCCAGTTTCTTTTATCACAATTTATTTAATTTTAGTCTATTCTTTCTTATTACCATCTACAGTCTGTTCTGCCTTAACTGTAAATAATGAACACAAGTAATTAACATTTTACAAAAGATAAAAATTTTGAAAAAAGTCCTATATGTAAATTGCATTATAAGCAAGTACTAATTCCCTGATTTAATGACTAGAAATCATTCATCCTTGTTTAATATGAAATTTCCATAAGATGTACGTGCCTGAGACGTTGCAGTGCGGGAAAAAATGAAAATAATTTAGCCTTTTGTATTCACAGAGATATGAGGGAATGGCAGACAAATTTCATGAGGGTCTTCGTAAAGATACAGATTTTATAAATTAGTTATCAGTTATTTAATAAGTATTTATAACTCTAATTATGAAACGTTAATGCGGGCTCATGGTACGTGTTATTATATATATATATACTAATCATGTACCACATGGTTAAGTTAGAAGAGGTTTACGAGAGGAGAGTGAATTCTTATCTGTTAGCGTTCATACTATTTACAGTCAAAATGATTGTTTTAGTGTTGTGTTCAGTTGCACTTTTCTCCCAAGCATGGGGAATGAAATACACTGATTGTGGTAATTAGCAATTTTTTTTAACAAATTTCAAAGAAATATGATTTTCTATAAGTATTTTTGTATGTAATATGTTTACTTACTAACGTTAGAAACTTTTTTTTTACAAAATCTTTCCGAAAATTTTAACTATTAAGTCACGTTATCATGAATTTCTTATCCAACTGGCAAGTATTGCCATTGGGCAAAGCATAAAATCTTTAATTTACGTTTTGTGGAGCCGGTTTCTGCGATGTTAGTATTTAATATCACGGAAGGTCTTTATTTTTATGATTTAATCAATCTATATAATTACTTAATAAATCAAGTAATTTAAAAGGAATAAATGCACTTCTTATTGTTTTAAATCTTTGTCTTTTACTAATAATATGAAATGTATTTAATTTATGATATATCCAAAAGATAACTTTTATGAACATTTGATGCATTACTGTAAATAATAAAAAATGTTCCTAATGCAGCATATTATGTACCCAGGTATAATTTTTTTCTTTTTTTTTCCCCTTCCCTCTTTTTTGTGGATGTTTCTTCTGTTATGAGCTTGTTAGATATTTTTGAACTTTTTATTTTTAAAAAAAGCTTTGAGTTTTTATGATTTATTTTCCTGCTAATATCCCAAAACTGAAACCTCTCGACGGATAAAGAGGTAGACGAATGTTACTGTAATATAATCACTTTTTTAAAAAATGGTGGCTGTAAATTATTTGACTATATCTTGAAAAGGACAGAAACAGCATCTTTATGTACCTTTAAAAAAGCTTTTCATTTCAGCCGGAGCTTAAAGTAGGAGCCTAGCTTGTTGCTGCGTTTCTGAGAAAAATCGTAACGTACTTAATCGTAATCGTAATCGTAACGTATCGAGCTCTTGATAAATTCCGTGTTAATGATTTTGATATTATTTTAAATTTGAGAAAGTCTACTCTACACTCTCTGACAAATCTCTGACAGATTGTCGTTTTGGAGTGCGCATTTATTAGAATAATTTTTAGGTTGTTGTAAGTCCCGATTGTACTTAAAATTGTTGATTTTCATGATTTCATTTAAAAAGATTTCATTTTAATTTTTTCATTCAACTGGCAACTCATTTTAAACCTTTCAATATTACGTAGTTGCAAGCATAGCCTAACGTAGTAATTCGAGTTTAATTTCTCGGTACGGTGAGCTTAACAGGGCATATTTCTAAAACTAGATGTGCCGAAGTTCTATGAAATGTCATCAGGAAAGATGAATAAAGCTAAATAAATAATGAATAATAATTAAATAAGATATAAAATAATAAAAAGGATAATAAATTAAGCTAAATTAATAACAAATAATAAAATAAAATCCTGGATCTTGTCTTAATTTTTGGCCCCAGTCGGAATTACAATTTCGCAATTTGAACCCTAAATGTAATAAACTAATGTACAATTACAAGGGGTGAGAGAAACACAAATCATTACTTTTTCAGCATATCAATGACAAAATGTAAAATGGTTAACAAGTCCCTAATGAAAGCAGAGAGAAAGCTAGAAACAGTGTAAGAACACAGAAGATGTTTTAACGAAGAAATGTGGGTTCGAGAGAAAAATTAAATATTTTTTTTTTACCATGATTTACAGCTGAAATAATTACAGCTAAGGTGAGAGCAAACGTAAAGTTCTGCATAGCAAATAATTTTTATCTTCCTTTTCTGGTTATAGAGGCACTATTTTTCATAAAAAGACACAAGCGTCGAGCGTGTTTGAGCCATTCATCTCTGGGTTCCATTATAGTAGGTCCACTGTCAACAAGGGCGCATTTAAGAATATATTAAATGAGAGTCCGCCTTCCCCGTCTCGTTAGAAATCGTGGATAATTGAAACTGTGGATGCCGAATTAGTGGATATGATTGTATGACAAGGTTAAGAAAATCACCTGTTTCCAAGCAATTTACAAACAATATAATTGCTCCCAAACAATTTAGATCCCTTGCAAAATTTTTGCACTTCCTGTGAACTTTTTTCCCCTTAAACGTCTTTACTTCAAAACTTACAAAATGACTCTCTTTCCTTGACTTCCTTTTCTGACTTTCTTTCTTTCCTTATCTCTCAAATTTAAAAATAATCGTTTAAATAATGTGAAAAAAAACTCAAATTTATTTTATAAGGAAAAGAAATTTAAGGATCTACTTACAAAGCCCCTTTAATTTAATGAAACTTCAGACGAAATTTTACTTTTTTGTTTCTATGAATTCTATGAATTTCTGCCATAAAAAATGTAATAATTATGCGTCTATTCATTTATATATCTATATCTCTCTCTCTCTCTCTCTCTCTATATATATATATATATATATATATGTAAAAAAAAATTCCAAGTCAAGAATACACTTAAAATTCTAACTGTATGTTGTTTTCATTTTTAATGGCGACGTTCTCTTATTTGAAAGTACGTGGAATTAAATCCACAGCCCCGTAGTCAAGTTGTTTCCCGCTTTTTCTACACGTACTGTTATAGAATGTTCTGGAAATATTTAAAGCGAACTGGATTGGCTGACGAGGCTGACGTCATTTCTTGGAAGCTCCGCCTTTCCAGAGGCTATAAAAGGACTCGTAAAGAATATCGGGGGCTTTTCCTTAAATGTCACGATGCAGTAAACTTCATACAAAAAGTTATTAGTAATTCTTTTTATTTACTCCGGATATCTGATTTTGTAACTGCTATTTCTCCTGAATAATAATAAATGGATCCTGTTTTTTAAACCTATCGTCTGATAATTTAAGCTACGACAAAAGCTGGTACATCACATATATATATTATCTCTTTACTTTTTTTATAAGCTTGGATACTTTTAAAATCAAGCTAATGAAGGGAAAAATAGTATGTATCGAAAGCCTGTGCATGTCCTTGCAGACGTTAAATACAGATATAAATTTTTCTTTTAGGATCAAAAACCGGGAAAATAATTGACGTTCATATGACTGGATGCGAGGAAACGGATGTTTGCGAACTCAAACGAGGAGAAACATATACCTATAGAGTCACATTTGATTCTCGTAAGTTTCTTTTATAATGTTGTCTTCTTTTTCTGTGGCAATCATAAAAGGATAAATTCTAGTTTTAATCATATAAAGTTCTTGAGTTCAATATTTATATAGTTTACATTTTCGTTTGGAAAATGTTTTATATTATATTAATTTATTGGCTTTCTCTTTTATATTAATATAGGAAATTAAATGAATGTTATCTCTTGCATGTATTTAATATTATGTATTAGTGCTATTATTATTGCTAGTATTTCGTAAAAAACTTAGTTTTATTTTGTAGATCATTGACATTAGTACTTTTGAGTTTCTAGTTTCTCCGAGTTATGCGAGATACATACATACGTAATCTCTTCTGAATCCATTTTAAATTTATTTTTCAATCCGTTTTGGGAACAGAGTCCTTTATTCTGTCCTTACGTACAGATGTCACGCATTGAATTGCATTCGATAGCGGTCAAAATGGATATTTTCGTTGAAATATGACAGCAGAAATGTTTCGTGATTATAACACTTCTTTTACTTAGATCAAGGAAATAAAAATGAAGCTCAGTTTGTAGAGACATTAGGATTTTTTTTTTTTTTTTTTTTTTTTTTTTTTTTTGAGGCCGGAGAGATGAAACATTAGCAACCGCCTTCGCCGGGAATCGAACCACGGACTTCTGGAATACCGGTCCTGCTTGCAGAACCACTACACCACGAAGGCACGCTAGGAAAGTGGGAGAAATATCTTATATACTCCCCTTTTTAAAGGGCCACTAGGGTTTTTAGGGGACCCAATCGCCAAATCATGGGTGTGGGGAGTCATCATACACAGCCCTTTTAGTTCGAGCTCCACTGTAGAGACATTAGGATTTTTTGGAGGCCGGAGAGATGAAACATTAGCAACCGCCTTCCCCGGGAATCGAACCACAGACCTCTGGTTTACCGGTCCAGCGTGCAGAACCACTACACCACGAAGGCACGCTAGGAAAGTGGGAGAAATACCTTATAAGTTACCTGAACTCAGTTACCTGTAGCTGTAAATGAAGCTCAGTTACCTGTAGCTGCGAGACCTTAAAAATAATTATCATTGTATCATTGTTATCCAATAAAATTGAAAATGTAAGAAGGAGCATTGTGTTTATGTTTGTATTGTTTTATTTGTTTTAATATCATTTCACTATTTTTAGATTTAGTTTATTTCAGTTAAGGAACAGAAGTTCATTAATTGACATAACTATTTAACTGTTTAGAAATAACAGAAATATTTAACATGACTATTTAGCTATTAATATAACTATTTAACTGTTAACTGAACCTGTTAAGAAAGCATTTAAATTGAAGCTAAAGAGAGAAGCAAATAAATAAAATAGTGATAAGCATTGTTTTCTAAAATAAAGACAAGCAAGTGGAGTAAAAGTATATAACGTAATGGATTCAAATAAGGAAAGTTAAATGACTTTTAATTTATCAAAATTAAATTAATTAACGTAATTATATTAAAATTAAATGACTCAGTACATTAAATACAAAAATAAAAATTATTGAAATTTAATTTCTTAAGAAAATAAAGTATAACATAATTATTTTAGTCAAGTACGAAAAAGAGAAAAATTTTATGAAATTTTCGTAATTTCACTTTACAGTGACCAATACTGAAAATGTAAAGACTGTTGTTCATGGAATCATCGGTGGAGTTTCCATGCCTTTCCCACTTCCGAATCCAGATGCTTGCGATTATGGAAACTTGGACTGCCCTTTGGAAAATGGCAAATCCTATACTTATTTAAAAGAATTTCAAGTCCGTAACAACTATCCTTTAGTACGTATGAGTATTTTTATAGATATTTTCTTTTGTAATGGTTATAATGGAATTGATACTATTAATTCATGCAAAAGTCCGGTTGATCCAAGAACTATAATAGTAATTCCCCTTCCTGTTCGTTCCATATACCTATACAGCAAGTTTAATGAGCTACATTTTATGTTTACGTCTCTTGGCTACAGCTAATTACATCTTACAAAGATGTAATTAGTTATATCCTAGTAATTAGTCATATGTAATTAGTTATATATATATATATATATGTAATGATATTTTTAAATCAATTGATTAAATTAAATTCTAATAATATTGCTTAATAATGCGTTGGCGATTCTCTACCTAAATTGCATCCCTGTTCCTAAATTTTGGCGAAATCCTTTCTTTAGTATAAAATATATTAAACTGTTGGCGCTCGCCAAATCGCCAAACTCATAAATCTGTCATATTACATAAAGTCCTTAAGAACACTCCTGATGAGAAGGTAGCGTCACCTCGTGATTTCAATTAATATCGCTGATTGGATGAGCCTCGAGACGCACACATATGTATAAATAGGACTTCTGCTCAAGGTACAAAAAGAATGTGAGATGGATGCTAAAATAAACCTAGCACTTTATATTCCAAAATTTGTCTCATTCGTGTTGCCCCGGCTGCACAAAACAAATAATGTATGAGAAATTACATTTCACACACACACACATATATATATATATATATATATATATATATTAACTTTCTGTTCAATTTTCTTATTTTTTGATCCAAACTAAAGCATTGGAAACCATTTCAAATTGTATTTTAAATTCAACAGGCGCAAACATTAAAAACTTACAAAAATCAGTGTTAATTTCAGTAAGCAAAAGGGTCCAATACATTTGAAACGAGTTGAAGTATATTAAAATATATTAAAGTTTGAAGTATATTAACATATACTCCTTTTTACATATTGAAATTAAAGCCATAACAAAACTAAATTTTGTCATTTATCAAAGTTAATATTAAAGAGAGTCTTATCTTTAACTTGGAAGCTTCATTTGGGTATATGACTTAAGCAACTAAATAAGCGCATTAGTTGAAAGATTTTGCTTTATCGAATTAACATAAAGTTAACTATTTTTCAAATAAATCATCAAATAAATATTTAGTCATCATAATAAAATAATGCTGTTTATTCAGGTAAATAGCAGTTCATATATGTATAGATAAATTGAAGTTCGTTTCATGAAGTAAATACTAGTGCATACCTAACGGATTTTCTAAATCCTGCAATATTAGCTTAGCAAAATTTTCTTAAAATTTCCTAGAGGCTTTTTCTGATTCTCCCGTTTCTCAAGAATGGTTCCATGTATTTAAAATATCGACTATATGAAATCATAAAATTAAAAATTAAATAGTTATGCATTGTCTAAGCAAAGGTAGGCTAAAACTCTTTGATTCTTGTTTCAAAAATCAAGCCTCGTGATAGCGTTTTTCATTGTGGGAGGGGACGGGGAATGCTCAGATGAGTATAAAATAATTTCTTAGGTCCAATTCCTATTTCTTGTATATGTTCCAATGTCAAAAACTCTCTGGTTACGCAAATATATGAAACTAGTTGAAATACATTTAACAGAAGCAATGAAAGTGGTCTACACAAAATTTGCTGAATATTTAGAAAATACTCAATAATCGCAAAGTGCGTACGGGACTAGTAATAGATTCAATGCACATATTACTCATGACAGCTTGATAAACTTTATTTTACCGAAAGAAACACTTTACAGTTCTGGAACTTTCCACAAAAATAATCCTATAGCTCTTCTCAGTATCACAGAGTACAATCACTGGTTACACTTCAAATTAGTGAGAGCGTTAAACACAGCGTAATGCAAAACGCATCTAAAAGGCGAAGCTCACACGGAGAGCTCTGAATACTGCTTACTCAATGTTGAACTAAACACTGAAAATTGATGGTCTCTTCGGGGCTTGTGTAGTTTACCTTCGACCTCCAAGAAATCTCTAGTACCTACCATTTCTCGAAGCTATTGGGAGGCATGCACGGTCAAAGTTACATATAAGGGCCGGATACGGTTACAATTACATAGCGGGCTATTATAGTTATTCAGTTACGGTATAAATTAGTTATACAGGGACCGGACTCAAATGTCTCCAAATAGTCGCCAAATTTGGCCACTTTTGGCGATTCATCGCCAAATTTGGCGACAAAAATTAGTCACGAGAATCATTGCCAGCCTACCGATATCTCTGCAATATAACAAGATAGTATATAGCAATTTACTCAATGTTAAATAAATTTGCCCCTGTATTCGTATTTTTCGGCAAAGCCTCGTCTGTTTCAATCATTTCACGTTACGTTATATTAATAATACTACAATTTTTCATATAATTTCACTCAAATTATTAGCATATATGCAAAATTCGTAACAGTATTTTTATAATGCATATGCAACTTACTAAATGAAATTTTAGTGGTGTTAAAAAACTAATTAAAGATTCTAATCTGTTTTAGGTCCAAGCTGATGTGAAATACGAACTGCAAGATGACAATGAAGACGATCTTGTTTGTGTACTCTATACAGTGAAAATAGTCTAATTTACGATTCTGCATAAACGATATTTACTGAAGAACATATATGGGATTTCAGGAGCTAGTTTTGTTATAAGTTCCGCATTTACTTTAACTAATGATAATATTTTGTAAAATGTATACTATATGCTGTTTTATGTATAGTGTATGAATTATTAAAAGGAAACTTTAATCCGTATGTTGAATTTATGTAAAGCTTTCAGTTTGGCAACAGCCAATAATTTAAATAAATAGCCATTAGCTTATCAATATAAATGTAAATCCGAAAGCTGAAAAATCCATTGAACATAAAACAAATGTAGACACTTTCTCCAAGTAATACTGAAAGCAAACTGAAAACAATAACAGGCTCACTGCTGAGAGTAACTTATTTTCTAGTTTATAAGTGGATACTCAATTACAGGCACATCTTCCAGTTAGTTATATAAATAAAACTAAAATGAAAATTTTAAAAAAAATCTGAACGGTTTCTGATTTTAAATTACGTCCAAATGGGATTTTTTTTAACATTTTGTGTGTTACATTTATTTATAAAATATCACGTTCTTCGACTTAAACCACAAAATTCAGTTCAACAGCAATATCACAAAATAGTTTTAAAATGAGCATATCTTTAGAATTTCAGAAGACAGAGACTCGCGCGCTGGAGATAAAAACGTTTTTTCTGTACAACGTTGCCATTGCTCGCTTTGAAATCCTTGAGTTTATTAATCGAAAATTCGTTAAAGTTTTACAAAATAGGAAATTGATAATAAAACCAATTCCAAATTTCAAATTGGGGCTTCCACATGCCCATATTCTTAAGATGATTACGTCATTCAAAATTCGATGGCTCTAGGTACCGTTGTTTTATCACTATGCGAGAAATATACATACATTTATGCAGATTTTTCATTATTTAATTTCTTCAAATATAATACAGGACTCTAACATTTGTTGGCAAGAGTTTGAAAAGTGAAACGGACTTTTATAGTGAACCAACGAAAAATCGCAAAACGAAAACAATAGTCCTCTTCAGGAAATGAAGAAAAAATGTAACTATAATCTGAAAACTTCAGATTACAGTCTAAAACCTCAACCTCAAATTCTCTAACACCTAACATTAAAATACCAAAAATTTTAAAAATATATATTAAAAAATTAAACATTAAATTTGACGGATTCAAAAGAACCTGCGATTTTATTTTGATATGCAGATTTCTGTTTAATACTTGAAACATTTTAAGCTAATCCGTTGTGATAGGCCTACTAATTTAAGAGTTCTAACCTTACACACTGTAAGTCCTTACACACTGTAAAAGTGTAAGTTCTGCGAACTGAAAACGCTCTGTCCTGTCGGAGTATTTAATAAAGCATATGCATTCATTAGTTATAAATAAATTACAGTAATTAGTTTTGGAAAATACTTATCTAAAAATAAACCAATAAAATTATTTCAAATAGAACTCTTTAAGCAGAAATGAGCACTGTGACCGTGTTTCGAAAGCACATTCCGGTCATTTCGCAGGTCATGCTCCCAGCAGTCGTTAACTAGGTGAAGACACATGCTGTGTTCCTCTTAACTTTACATATACAGAAGTTCCCCAAATCTTTCTCCTGTAGCTTTTTAACATACCGATACAACTTGACTTATTCGCTTGACTCTTTCAGAAAAGTTTCGTAAAATTAATATTTGAACTGCTTAAAAAAAATTAGTCTCTAGATGATCATCCATTGGGAAGTAAGGCTAGTAACAGGTTTCATTCTGAGATCATTGTTTTTAATGTGAGTTCTTTCGTAAGAACTCATGTTAAGGACAATACTATTGCAGGAAAAACAATAATAACATATTCGATGTTTGACTGACATCAATACTGCCAATATGTGTTGCAAAATATGGTGAATCTCAGTATTTAATTATTAAACAGTACAATGCTTGTACGTATTAAAAAATGAAATGCTTTAATTTTTAGCACCAAAAGTGCTATTAGTCTCGGAACTTACTTTTTGTACGGATCACTTTTATGTACGAATCACTTTTCAAATTGTTGCTATATAGCCATGTTTTATAGATATAGCCATGTTTTGTTAAAATATTAATGAACAAAGACTGTTTTAACTAATTTTAAATTTTGATTACTAATTATTTTTCAAAGGAAACATAAACCAAAAAAAAAAAAAAAAAAAAAAGTCTGAAAGCTTTCAGATTTCACATCACGTCTTAGCGGTCACTTTTTTTCTCATTTACAGATGCATAAATGTTTCGAGAGCAATTCCATTAATGCCACATTGTGCTAAAAATATTTAAAAATAGCATATCTTTAGAATTTCCGATAAACAGTCTGGCGCGCTGGAGATAAACATGGGATATTCCTTTAAGCATTGCCACTGCTCACTTTGAAATCATTGAGTTTTTTTAATCAAAAATTCCTTAAAATTTTACAGAATATGAAACAAACTATAAAAAAAATTCGAAATTAACAATTCAGGCTTCCAGGTGCCCATATTCGGGCGGAGGACTACGGTGTTTAAAATTTCATGGCTCTAGGTAACGTTGCTTTTTTCCCAGTGGAAGAAACATACATACATTCCTGCACATTTTTCATTGTTTAATTTCTTGAAATATAATACAGGGTGATAATATTTGGTGGCAACAATTTGAAAAGTGGCTCAACGCTTTTAATCATTCGAGCAAAATGCCATTTCGAGACCATACGTCCTTCTGGACTAATGCCCCATTGGGCTAAAAAACTAACGATTTTAGTATTTTCTACACTTACAGAAAAAGGTCACAATTTCGTATTTGTGGATTCGGAAGCTCTAAGCATTCTCCTTATCATTACATTAAATAATTCAAGAAGAGCATAAGATATGAACGTTAAATTTGTAAGGATCTTAAGTTTTACTAACGTTTATTTTATTTTAAATCTTTACTATCACTTCTTATTTTCTACTTCCGGCCAGAATTATAAGCGTTAAGGTTTTTATGCAAAGTTTGTCTGGCGAACGCCAAGTATTTAAGTTGTGGCTTTTTGCCAAGCGAGAGAGAGGAAGCAGTGAGTCGAAGCAGGCCGCTTATCTTAGAAGTTACGCAGTTGCTTGTTGCCTTCCAGGCCAGAGGTTTTAATCCTCTTGATAAATTTTAAACGTATTGTAGTGTTCACAGTTCTCTGTGCTACATACGCTTCCTGTTATTATAAGGCCAATCTTCCACGTTTATTATTCTAAAGTTAAATTAGAGTTTAGTTTTATTTTTATACTTTTACGTTTTGACCCCAAGTAGCGGGTCGGTGTATTCCGAAGTACGGAAGTCATTGTAAATAGAGAAAAATAAAGGGTTTTGTATACCCTTCTTGTGTATCCTGTTTACTTCCCACAGTTTTGAACATAGCTTTAGTAAGCTCTCTGTTCCGAGTCAGGTCCTTGCATGTTCCCGAAGAAGGTTAGAAGGAACATTGACCCTGATAAATTTGTATCAGATTTTGGAAAAGTTAGGTATGCTGTCATAAGCTACAGTTAGATCCTATCTAAAATTTTTCAACTAGATCTGAAAGAAATTGACTGGTAATACATAGTTTTTTTTTTCTTTTTTTTTTTTTTCCCTAAAGTTTGTCAGTGAAATAAAGTACGAGTTGCATCGTCGATTAATCCCTCTTCCTTTTGATGAAGGATATTTTTTCCTTCATTCAGTATAGCAAAACACAGGGGAATTATCTGCTGAAAGGGAGCAATGCCATAGTGAGGACTTTCTAAGGGAAACTGGGTTTACGTTATGCTTTATATTTACTTTATACGAAAATAACGGAATCACCCACACAAACATTTCATTAAGATTCAAACCCGGATCAAAATACCAATGTTCGGCAATCTTATCCACTTATATCGTTTGAGGGAATATAATACACTTGAGAAAAGTCGATACACAATCTCTGAACTCACAACAGCACGCAGTTTTTCAATAATTACACAGCCGCCATTTTGTTATCCGTTTTCATAACCTTATTCCATCTTATAAAATTACAATTGATGCACAGATGCTAAACACAAAGATATTACATTATTAGTGATGAGCAAAATTTTTTTATATTTTAAAAATGTTTTATAGTGTTACCTGCGTATGTTTCGTAATGGATTGTATGCACACAGAACCGATGACAGCTTGATAAAATAAATTTTCCCGAAGGAAACACTTTACAGTTCTGGAACTTTTAACAAAAGTGCTAGTACAGCTCAGTCTCAGTACGACAGAGCACAATCAGTAGTTGCTACTACAAACTACTAAGAAGGTTAAACACAATGCAATGCAAAGTGCATCTAAAAGAGCGAAGCTTGCACGGAGGTCTCTCAATAATCTGAATTTAACTCTGAGCTAAATAAAACTGAGAATTGATGGGCTTGTTATGATTGCCGAAACTTTATCTTGCAAATGTATGGACATCCTTCAGTGCTTAGTTATGATTATCATCCATTTTAAAAATGTATGATTGGCAAAGGTATAACTTCATCTACCTACAGATGTCACATTTTTTAAGTATCATTTCTGATACAAAAGTCAATGATTATAAGATGCCGCTTTTTAAAAAAAATGTAAATAATAATTAGCAATTATTTCCTTTAAAATGTAAAGCAAATAATTCTTTTTCACATTGTTCAGATAATTTAATTTTAAAGTGCTATAATTTAATTTTAAAGTGCTACTAGTCTATGAGAAAACACGAAATTTAAAATACCGTGTTCTAATGAGAGTAGCAAATGTGCTATATGCATTATAAAGACATTACATTGTAGTTTATACACCAGAGAAATGAAAATTATTAAATATTACTCGGTTTAAAAGTCAACAGAAATTTCATATACTGATAAAAATGATACAGGAATACTGCACACATAAATTCTAGTACCTTCTAAGAAATTATAAGCCATCGCACTTGTATTTCAATTTATATCACATTTCCCTTAATTCAACCGGGATATTAGTTATCGGCGCTGACTGTTGTCCCGAAGGGACAGAGTTCGAATACCGGAGAAGACATGGATGTTTGTAAATGTATATTGTCTGTGCGGCATGGGGTCACTCTAAATATGCGACTAGCCGAAAGTCCTCTCGAGAGGCTGAGGTAGGGTAAGACGGATGGGAGACCCTCGGATCCGTCCTACCGGTGTGCTCTCCATTTAAAACTGAGCCTGAGGCACTGAGCA